TGCAGATAGTTGTATGAGACCAGCCCTACCGGCGACTGGTGCTATATGCTGTGCACTAGTTGAACAGAATAATCCCAAAACAGCAACAACACCTAAATCTTCCCTGCCAATTCCTTTACTAGCCAGTTCCTTAATCCCTAAATTAGCCTCTGTCAGCCCACATGCCTCATGTCTTCCCTCTATCATTTCTAAAGTATAATTTGTTAGTATGTCAGTCCTGTTGTTAATCTCTTGTACAGCAACACGACCAGCAGCTAGCATGTCAGGGCCAGTGTCCCAGCCAGAATGAGTCCTGTTGAACTCATCCCTCCATTGAACGAGGGCAAGGAAGCGGATGACCTTTTCTTCTCTCAGTTCGCTGTAAATCTCCTGTGGCTCACTCCCCCTCAAAACTGCTGAGATTAGAAGTGAGATAAGCCAGAAGTGATGATAAATAGACATAATAATGAGAGGAGAGGAGACAAAGGCTTTTCCCCGGTCGGCTTTGGCTTGCTTCAGTGGTCAGACAATAACAAATTCTATTGCTTCTATCCTGGTGTGAAATTTGATAATGAATTATTATATTAGAGGTGACCATATTGTATTATTCCTAAGCTATTTTGAATGCCTGTTCCTTTACATAACTTACCGTAGGAGTACAAGAGGAAACAGCCACTTAAGTGCAGGAATAGTTGCTTCGCTTAATTTGTGTGGGTTTCACTTTGTATAGTGTTATGCAAACATGGTAGCTAGTTTTTACTGACAAAATGTAAACAATTTCATTTTTGTTTTTATTATCGCTGCCATTCATAGCCAAGAAGGACGAACGACAAGAAGACAGCATCAGTCATTGGTCATGATTATCATCGTTATCTTATTACTGTGTTTGTCAACATTTACAGAGACTAATAAGGTAGTCAATTTATTAGCATTGGTCCCATGGCCTGATGATAGGGAGTCTGCCGGTTGGGATACTGGTAAAGTATTGCTCCCAGCCGGTCGTGTAGCAGTAAAGCATGTCAACAATCACAAGTACATTCTACCTGGCTACTCACTGAGACTGATAGAGGATGGTCATGAAGCTTGTGGATTGACTGAGGCTAGTAAAACAATAATCAATTTTGTTAGATTTGCCTCTTCTCCTCCACACAACACTGTGGCAGCTGTACTAGGACTCTACTGCTCTACAAGCTCAATAGTCTTAGCTCAGCTAAAGGAGCCAGTCGTGTTGAAATTATCGGCTTCAAACTCGCCAGTTTTCAAAACACATTCATATCCAAATTTTTGGAGATTCCTTGTGTCAGCTGGGATTTATGGAGACATGATGATTGGGCTCATGAACAAATTTGATTGGAAAAGAATTGCGATTGTTCAGGACCTTGAAACAACCTTTCATTCAGCCATCGCAGAGGAGCTGGCAAAGAAGATTCTAGCTACAAGTGGAGAGAAGGAAGTTGTTTATCATTGTGGCATGGTCCATACTGTTGATCAGTTTGCTAATGATTGTATTAATGGGATCATTGACAGAAAAGCTAGGATAATATTTGTCTCAGCCACTGGACCTCAAACAGCAAAGATCCTTTGCTTGGCAGGGCAAAGGGACATGAGTTATCCATTTTTCCTGTGGATCATCATCGATTTCCTTGTATCGTCAATAATAGATGAGGCTGGACACATAGAAGACTGTGATCTGAGTTCCCTGCATTATATACTAGAGAACTCACTTGTAGCTTATTTTAGTTTGGAAAACACTAATGATTTGGATAGTTCATTTAATGTGAGTATTGATGACTACCTCACAGCTTATAGAAATGAATTAGAAGCTGATAATATAACAAACCCATTGAAGCACGATGAGCTATACGCTGGCTTGCTATATGACCAAGTATGGGCTATAGCATTAGCTCTAAACAGTTCAATATCTAAACTGGAAGGAATGAACATTAGCATTGATACCATTGGCTTTAACCAGCCCCATGTGACACAGATAGTCGAAGAGTCTCTCTCTCGTATTAGTTTTCATGGAGTTACTGGACACATTAGATTTACATCAGATAACGAAGTGGCTGGCTCAGTTCACATCTATCAAGTATCCAACAGTCTTGAAGGATTGCTCTGTCATTATGAATTCCAACCACTCACCAACAACTACTCTTTTGTTAATTGTCAATTATCATTCAGTGAAGAATTTGATGATGACATACCAATTCAGCTATTGCTCTTAGAGGCGCCAATCGTAATAAGCATGTTTACAGGTACATGCATTCTGATCATATTTATAACAATTATACTACTACTGATGGCTAAGTGTAAGAATGAGCCAGAGATTAAGGCATTCAGTTTTTCAATGAACATATTGATATTTCTCAGTTGCTATGTACTGTGTGGTACTCAGCTCCTTTCTACAGTGATGGCTGGTGTTAACATTCAGTCAGAACTAGCCTATTCCGTCATATGCAATATTCAAGTCATAGGAACGTACAGTAGCATTTGTCTTGTATTTGTGACTCTTTTCATGCAATTGTTTCGCATCAATAGGATATTCCATAACAAGAGATTGAGTCATCTCAGTTGTCTATACAATAACAGGGTCTTGTTTATCATCACTTTGCTCCTTCAAATATTACCAGTCGTACTTCAGATCGTATTTGTGGCCGTCATTCCTTTCAAGTTGCAATTGAGTGAGTCTTATGAAGTGGTCGGGTCTAAGACAACACTTATTAGACAGCGTTGCTGTGAGATTGATTCCAGCACCAAAAACCAGCTAATATTTCGATTCATATTCACGCTCTACGAGTTTGTCTTCCTCGTACTAAACACAATCTTAGCATCGAAAACAAGCACCATCTCGCACAGGCAGTTTCGTAATGCAAAGACGGTTAATGTATTTATGGCTAGTGTCATTATAGTCCAGGCTACATCATTATCAGCTCTGTATGTGTTAAAGCAAGGATCCAGTAGTGCCATGCGTTATGCTGAGCTAATAGTGTATATAGATTCCTACCTTGTTACTCTTCTCTGTCAGGCTTTGCTGTTTATGCCAAAGATATTATCAGTTATTAGCAGAAAGTCTAAACAGTCATTGCAAAGTAAACACGTATAGTAGCTATTATGATATTGTGTGGTGTGGGTTTCCTCATTACTCCTGATATATGATGTTTTTGACAGTTTTTGTTGTTTTAAAAATTGTGTATCTAATCCTACTATTGATTATCTTACAGTTGCTGTTCATCCCACTGACTGATTGTTATTTTATCTTGTAAACTGAAGCCGATGTGTTTGCAGATCTGCATAGTTATAATTATCTGCATATTTGCAGCATACCAGCCCCACCCTTTGTACGTGGGCGGGCGTGCTGGAACGTGACGTCATCCAGGAGACCACGCCCATATTAAGCGGGAAATTTCAAATCAAAAGGTAAGAAATGGAGACCGTTTCTCTCTTGTTTTAAAACAGGCTCTCTTTTCTCTCCTCTCTCTTTAAATAGTTAGAATATTCGGCCCAGATACAGCCCAGACTGTACACAGAGGCGAGTAGCTAACAGGACTAAGCCTGGGGGGTCGTTTCCAGTCAAAAGATTTGAAACAAACAGACAGGCGGGAAAGAAAATGGCAAACAACCTCGTATTTGTGCCCAATCAAGAGAACGAGGAGAGGAGACGGTCCCTGCAGGGGCCAGTGGGAGTCTACAAGAGACATTTAAAGAATGTCCCTACGTCAGAGAGCAAGCGAAAGCCATTATCGACGATTAGTCTTAGCAACCACCAGCAGTACGAAGGGACAAGGGGACAGAGTCTTTCGCAACAGACGAATATGGAGGTACGTGCAGTACGTTATGTATCATTTCATTAAGTTCTCTTTCTTCTTCTTGTTTAGTCTTCTCTTCCTCGATATTTAGACCCGCTATACGGCTTGCCTTCATCGATACCACCACCATCCCTCTCTCTCTCCTCCACTCTCTCCTCCTCCTTCTCTTCCTCTCTCTCCTCCTCATTTCACCAGCCAGCTACCAATAACTATACCTCATTCCCCTCACCTGGTGAGCCAACTGTTTACATTAACAAAAACCACATAATTACACCCACACGAACAAGTACATGTACATGTACATGTACTTGCACACTCATCATTCATAGTTTACATATATAAGGATGTACATGTGTACACTGTTACATATTTGTACATGTTTTGTGTACACAGACTGTGTCAGCATTATTGGTTTTCTTTTAATGTGTGTAAAATCACATTTTGTGTTAATTGCATTTCTATAACCTCTGTTACTGCCCTCTGGGCCTGGCTCCCCCTCTCTCTTTCCCTCATCCTCTTTCTCTCTCTTTTTCTCTCTCTCTCTCTCTCTTTCCCTCCCTCTCTCTCTCTCATCTCTCTCTCTTTCATCTCTCTCTCTCTCTCTCAGTGTCTCCAATGCTAGTATCCACTCCATTGGTTGGTGACTCATTTTCATTTGTTGAGCCAAATAATGATGACTGCAGTATTGAGTATGCACAAGACATCCTGTCACACATGAGACAAAGCGAGGTAGGAGCAGTAACCTTTCATTTATTGCTAATAATCCTTTATGTATATGTACACATCCCCTTTTTCTCTCTCTCTCCTCTCCTCCCCACAGATACAGTATCACCCAATGATAGATTATATGACAAAGCAGTATGATATTACTAACATAATGAGATGCATTCTTGTTGATTGGCTTGTTGAGGTCTGCGATGAATTTCATTTATTACCCGAGACACTGTTTGCTGCTGTTGCTTATGTCGATCGCTATTTGTCTCAAGTCTCTGTACCACGATCTAAACTACAGTTGGTTGGTGTCACCTGTCTTTATTTGTCGGCAAAATTCGAAGAGATACATCCACCAGAAATCAGTGAATTTGCTTACATTACTGATGATACTTACACCAAAAAACAGGTAATTGAACACCGAGAGAGAGAGAGGGGGAGGGAGGCCTGAACTTTAAAAATGGTTTAGTTACATTACATGTATATTGTTCTTATTTCTTATTT